ATATATATATATATATATATATATATATAGAGAGAGAGAGAGAGACACACACAGTATACATACATACACATCTAAGCATCCCTACACATATACATGTATATACACATACATATGTACTTGTATATATACATACATGCACATACATAAGTGTCCGCGATATCACAGACCCCAGCACTATGATACTATAAATCACAATCTACTGCATTCCACCTCAAAGTTGAGTTTCATGTACTCCCTTTTTTTTAATTCAACCTTTATTTATACAGGTTAATCCCATTGAGCCTCGAGGACTCATTTACAAGAGAGCCCTGATTTCTTTAACAAAGAGTGATGACAACAATGGATTTTTCTGTGTTACATGTTAGTATAACAACATGTATGAGTGTCCAGAATGAGAAGCGGTCTACATTCAGCTTGTCATGACTGCTCATTAACTGGACTGGACTATTTTGTCTAATTTGCGTTTCTGCGTTGGAGTTTTGTGAATAATACATTTTAATGAAGCTTTAACCTATAAGTCCAAGCTTAAAGGTTTAGTTTTAGCATTAACTTTTATGTTCTCAGGTGATAGGCATAAGCAGTTCAATGGGAGCATGGTATTTTCTAACAACCTCATTCTTGGACTCTGTACCTGTTGGTGCTTCTCAAACTCCAGTTTGATGGGTGACTTGATGCAGTTGCAGGTGTCCTGATAGGTCTGTTTCAGTGCCAGCTCCATAAGATGCTTGTGGTATGCCCCGGCCAGGTTTCCACAGGTGAAGATGATCACATTGGCCAGGACCTGTCGTGAATCCCACACGCAAACATTAAAAGCATTAGGAGGGGGTGGAATTTCAAGTCCTGATTATACCTTTAAGTGTGCTTTATTACCTTGTAAAACACTAGGAAACCACACAAACCTCTGAATGCTTTACTGCTCTCTCTATGTCAACCTTGAGTTCTTTAAAACGTAGACATGCAGATCAATAGATTGTCTGGTATCTAAAGGTAATGAGGCTCATTGAGCATGTTTTATTGTTGTGAAACTACAACTTCATGTGTGTTTGTAAGGGACCGAAAAGAGACAGGGTTGTGACAGTGTTCGAGTGTGTTTACTCTGAGGGCTGATTGTAAAGTGTCAATGTGAAAAGCGTGAGACACAAAATCAATTCTACTTTACGTCATTTCTTATCTAGCATGATGTCGTTTTATTGAGTCTGATGGATTTTTATTTTTATCTGTGGTAAAGGCCTTTATGTTACTGGATAAAGAGCCCATTCAGGTTGAGACAGCCTTTAAGAGCTTTTCTCCGAGTACACTAACAGGCAGTTTTATCAGTGAAGGCTCCACTCAATGCCCCGTGTCACAATAGTAAAGAATAGTACTACTATTGTTAAAACCCAGACCTACCTAAAATGTACCACCTTATCATTTTTATATGTACGTTTTTAAAAGAAGCCAACCTTTTCTCTGTTCTTCCCTTAACAGAGCACAGCCAAATCATTTAGGCTGCCAAAGGGCCAAAATACAGAGTTCATGTCAGATTCAGAATACGTACAGCAGAAGCAGAAAGTTATTTAAAACTGATTTCAGTCATATGGTTGAACTGCGCATTCACAGGTTTGGATAAATGCTCGACTCACTTGCCAGACTAACGGCTCCAGTTCTGTGACAGTGGAGGTCAGACAGATGCTCAGGGTTACAGTGTGTGAGAGGCAGGTTATACCACTGGCAATAATGGCCCACTTCATGGAGAAGGGCAGCATGGTGTAGACCACAAACACGATGAACAGGAAGAAGGACACCTGGAAACAGAAAACATACGTTATTGATAAATGAATAAGTGAAGACAGTACCTTCTTGAAACAGATTGGGTTGGTATTTTGTAGTATTTAGGTAAAAACTTTACACCTCCAGTATTTAGTGACCTAAGGTATGGATTTTGCACTTTGGTTTGTAATGTGTTTTTATATCCGTTCAATCCACCATTTACATAAACCTTTGTGCAATAAAGTCACTTACATGTGGGTGGGGGAGGTTAAAACATCACAAGATTCTTGCAATTCCCACAAAAGTTGTCTCTTAATAATTTTACTGAAACTACCACTGAAGGTAATCCAAACCATTTTAAAAGTTTTGTGTGGAAGCAGTTCATAAACAGTCAGGCACTAGGACCACGTGGCACATAGTATGGAGGCAGCTCCCCTCACTCCTCCGCTGCCTCTGCAGCTACGTGCTGAGAAGAAGAGTCTCTGTTATGCATTATTTCAAACAGAATACACTTAACCTTGCGTTAATCGATTTGATTTGTAAGAACAACAGTCAACCAGACTTTGAGGTGATGTGCAGTTCCTTGAATTTTTTTTTTTGTTTGGTTGTTTTTTTAGCAGTTTTGATGACCTGTGGTAAAATGGTTTCATTAGAAGTCAGTATAAAGGATTAAAAATGATGAAAGAATTAGTGGTAACACTTTACAATAAGGTACACAAAATTTGCTTAACTACTAGGGAACACCTATGGAACAAATCAGTAGATAATGGGTAGTTAACCAAGGAACACACAGCTAAGCCTTATTATGGGAGTACTGGTTTGTTATCGTAGAGACAGAGGAGAAATTCTCCACGTGGGTTCTGAATAAACCCTGCACCAGTGAGGTCACAGCTCATAAGTTTGTCAAAAATTTGTTTCCTAGTGATTACTGGTTTTATTACCCATTAGCTTCTGATTGGTTCTGTTTTAGTTTCCTTGGTAACTACCCATTAGTTCTTTATTAGTTTTTCTTCGTTTACAAGGGGACTAACCAGTAGTCTAATTAGGCTTGGCTCTGTGTTCCCCTGTAAGTACTGATTAACTACTCATTAGCTCCTGATTCGTTCCTCTTTGATTTCCATGTTAACTACCCATTAGTTCCTGATTAGATCCTCTTTGTTTCCCAGGTAAGTGACCAGTAATAAGGCTTGGCTATGCGTTCCCCAGTAAGTACTTGTTAACTACCTATTAATTCCTGATTTGTTCCTGATTCGCTCCTGAGGCGTTCCCTAGTAGTTAATCAAATTTTGTGTACCTTATTGTAAAGTGTTACAGAATTAGTAAGATTTCATTAAAAAAATCCTATAAATTATCTTATTTTTGGCTGATAAGATATATATGAGTAAACTTCCTATTTCTATATGAATATTTTGAAATGCGCATGACTATTTTAAAGAAAAGATCGAAAAAAGAAAGCCGGTCTTTTATTTTTACACATAGGCCAAAGTTTTAAATTTTACTTCTTGTGAAAAAGAGTTGTACCCCCCCTCAGTTAGAAGGTCATGTAAAGTTAAATTGTCAGTCTGAAGAGAAGCATCAGACTCCTGTGAGGTGAAATGCAGGTCTTGCCAGTGGCAAAACCTTAAAAACTTAAAAATAATGTTAAAATGTCTTCTCATTCTTGTAAACCTAGTCCCTCATCTTGTCTTGTGAGATGAGCGTCCCAATGAACTCCAACTTACACGTAATACATTTTCATATAATGAGGGAGAACTTGACCTTATGTTAGGATCATCATGTTCACAGATCTACAGTGACAGAAGGAGCAAGGGGACAAACTATCCAGAGCTCCTGAACAAAGATGATGGTTTGAGTGTGAACTCACCTGGTAACTGAGCTTGTCTTAACATCTGCATCTCTGCAAACTCCACAGTTTTTCATCTGTTCACTTTATCACACATTTACTTCCAGTTACAAATAAAAATGAGTTTTTTGACGATGGATTAGTATCTTATCTCAACTCAGAGGAAAATCTCAACAGAATGCATCCAATAAATTATATATTTTTATAAGCTAAACAATGGAAGCACAGTCATTGAATAACCATTTAGTCAAAACACAATATAAATGACAATTAAGTGCTACATACTGCAAATGGGAAAAGGTATGCAGTTTTCAAATGTTCAAGTTGGTTAAACAAAAGAAATACAACCAACTAAATGAGATTACCAATCTGCGGGGTGAAGAAGGTTTAATGGACTGATGAAATCAGGGCACTGGATAAAATGAGGATTTTTGGCAAAGCAAGTCAATGATCCTGCAGTGGGATCACTCATGAAGGTCAAGGTTTCTTTATTGTCATTCGCATCGTATGTGGTACACATGATGGAACAAATGGTGTACACAGGGTCCCAGTTACATCCAACACGAGTATAAATTATAAAGACAAACAGTGAAAATATCTAAGATATGAACTAAGAAAAAATAATATTCTAAGCACTAATAGTACAGAAACAATACGCTGAACAACAGCAGCACAAACATGAGTCTGCGTGAGCAGATGAGTACGAATGAACACATCAGCATGATATAAATCAGCAGCATGAGATCAGCAGCACATATCAGCAATCAAGTGGCATCACAGTGATTTTTTTTCCCCGTCCTTCCATGAAGTGAATGTTGTTTTTATGTCAAACCTGCTGCCAGTTCTGTCAAACTCTTGGAGGCAAATAAGTTTGCAGAAAGTACTGAGCTTATTTTGAGCATCAAACACACATCAGAAGTTGTTCCACAAAATGTACAAGTGGTTTCCAAGTATCGACGGTAAACTCCAGCAAACATTCAATTTGTCTAAATTCAGAGCACAGCTGTGTGGGCAGCCATTTCCTTCACTGAACATGATCCAACTCTAAAATGCTGATCCTGTTTTAACTTATTGGAGCTGAGAGGGCCACACTCAGTTTTATCTATTATTTACAGCCATCCATCCATCCATCCATTATCTTTACCCACTTATTCCATTTTGGGTCACAGGGGTCACTGGTGCCCATGTCCAGCAATCACTGTGCGAGGAGCGGGGTACACACTGGACGGGTCGCAAGTCCATCACAGGGACACATAGAGACAAACGAGACAAACAACCATTCACTCTCTCACTCACACCTAGGGACAATTTAGAGTTACCAATCAGCCTAACATGCATGTTTTTGGTCTGTGGGAGGAAACCGGAGCACCCGGAGAAAACCCATGCATGCATGGAGAGAACATGCAAACTCCACCCAGAAAGGCCCCTGGACTGGGGTTTGAACCAGGGACCTGCTCGCTGAGAGGCAGCAGCTCTGCCAGTTGTGCCACCGTGCTGCTATTTACAGCCAATAAAATGGAAACAAACACACAAAGTGCTAAAGTAAGATCAAGTATGTTCTTGAATATTCCCTTGTATATGGAAACAGGAGTGTGTGTAAGTTCCTGTGTGTAATATTTGTTGTGCCGTTCTTAATGATACCCTGTGAGTTAACCTGCTGCTGTGTCCCTGTCCACTTCCCTGCTGTCCGTCCAGCCCTTCCTGTTGTGGTGGGGACCAGCATGACCGGGTCACAGATTCAGCAGAGTCTGAGATGAACCGTGACCTTCCTGCCAGCTCGTTTGTTTCCTGTGTCTTTCAGGTTCAGATTTGGGCTGCAAACAGGAAGCGACCAAGAGACAACTTAATGACTTTAAAAATACTCTTTTACCGTTT